TAAGATACTCATCTTTTTTCTTGAATAAAGTATTATTTATAACAAAATCATACGCTAAAATCAAATCTAAAATAGCTCTTACCTTCTTCATTAGTTACTCCAAAATCGTAGTCACCATGAGTATTTCTGAAGTCTTCTACCACTCTACCGACATGTCCATTTAAATCTCCTCCAATCCATTTAAATCAATAAAAATTCTTTCTTCAAGAGGTATCACTTATATTAAGTCTTCTAAGTCATTCCAAAATTTATTTTTAGATCCTGTATCTAAACCTACTTGAGGAGCATAAACACTTATAATATTAAAAATCTTAGTATCAATGATAATCTTAAGGGCTATAATTCTATCTCAAAGTTTATTAATTGTTACAACATTATTTTTCAAACTCTTATCAATAATAACATCTACACCATTTCTAGCGCTACTCTTATCAGAATACCAAAGTTTAAAACCTAAATTATCAATCTCCTCGTCCTTTTCTCCAACCCACTTAGTTTCTTGAATACATAAGATATTAATTTTCCTATGAATCATAATATCAACTAATTTCTTTAATTTACCATTGAGAGTATTTATATTCCATAATCCTATCCTAATATTAGTTTCATTAGTTTCATGGACTAACTTCTTTACCCGCATTCGCCCGTAATGTGGGAACCCTTATTTAACACTACATCCGGGCGCCGGTGTAGCGACTCTTACACACCTTTCACTGTATTCAGGCTATACAGCGCGTCGCTTCCAGGGGACGCCCTAGCAATTACACAATGATCAAAAGTATTCATGAAAAGGTAAATTTTAAAAATAAAAAGTAAAAAAAAAAATCAGAAGTGATTCCAATCGTGCTCTGATTACAATTTGTTTTCTTATGGAGATTACAATGGTATGGTATTAATTTATTTCATGACGTGGGAGCCTCATGGTTACTGATCTTGTGCAGATTTAAGCACCCTCACACTGGGGAACATCTGCATTTTACATGCCCACCACCTCATGACTTCGCTGCACTAGTGCATGGGCTTCGCAGCGTCTCTGGTCATCGAAGCAAAAGTTAGATCTGCAATAATTGAAAAAGCCATGTAAAATTGAAGCCATCTTCCAGTCTAGGAAGCTCCCTTCTATGGTTACTACACCAGAGCACTGTACGATTATGTTAAGCTTATTCTTTATGTTGCCTGAATAGCAGTGAAATTGTACTTCTTGGAGAGAAAATATTGTACCAAGTAAAATATCAAAATAGTCTCATGACTATTTACATGAGGCCATTTTAATCATGGAGCCTGTCACGTAGCCTATGGAAGTTTCAAATTAGTCTGTAGAATCTTTAAAACGGGCTGAAATAGTTCCTTACTAAAAACTACTTTAGCCCTCCCTAAAAGAATTTAG